GTTGGATATTTGCAATAGCAACTGAGATCCTCAAAAGTGGGTTGTTACACTGAAAACTGGATACATCCGCTTCATTCGTTGCAAGCTTGGTAACCCTGGCAACCGAGACAGCCGCGCACAGAAGCGCTGGTACTCGTTTGGCCCTATTTGCTGGTGATGAGGTTTTGCTGCGACCCTGCCAGGCCAGGGTATCTGGCTGCCTCGTGGAAGAGGTTGAGAGAAAGCATTTTCTGATCGGTTTGTCGGTCTGGAAGACGATTCGGAGCCTTCAATGGGCACCAATAAAATGGTCAACGTACGGACTCAGACTGCGTCTGTCGAAGAGACATTTGTGGGTCTTTGGAAGTCGTCCGGCCGACTAGCGCCTGAGCCGTCTTCCTGTGGATTGTGACCCATCAAAAGTAGCAGTTCCCTTGCGGGCGATGGGTGGGCAGAGGCGGAGCGCAGGCTCTCGGATGCTCTACCAGACAGTTGTCACAAGTCAGCGAAACGGGGTGACAGTGTCTATGCGTTGCTGAATGACTTGCTAAACTAAACTGTCTACTTAGCATCCCCCTGGACGACCGGTTCTCTGACCGTGCATGTGTGTATGCACAAATGCATGCATGTATGGATGGATGAATGGATGTGATGTGATGTGTGTGTGCGTGTGTGTGTGTTAGTTGGTATGTGGACACGCAGGCAAAGCCGCCAGTCTGAAACCGCTGTCAAGCCGACTTTAGTCAAAGAGGGAAGCAGAAAATGTCGGTTGATTGGAGCTTTTGTTTCATGCCGCTGAACGTCTGCAGCAGTCGTGGGTCCGAGTAATTCGATAATAGCATAAAATGACTATTATGACGGAAAAACTGACTTAGTGTGGCCTTACTGAGAAGCTTTTGGGGCAAGATGCGGCCCGTTGGTAAAGCAAATCTGACATTAAAAAGTAACCTAGCTCCATTATTCTGTTCATTCATTCATTCATTCATCCATCCATCCATCAATTCATCATGCACAAAATTATCCATTCATCCATTCCATCATTCTGCCGTTCTCCGTTTCTCCTTTCTTCACCTCTTTTCATCATATTCCGAGATCTACAGGGTCAGTAGAACCTCCTGTTCGGACATTATTAATCTTTATTTCACAAAAAATAGTCATCTGAAAATGTATTGTAATTACTTGTCTTTAAAGGATCATGTTATATGTACCCAGGGAGGATAGAAAGCGCCGAATGTATCGCTTTTGCCGGTTCACCATATTGACGATTACCATCTTCTGAGTTATTATACTTTTATGTTGGAAAGATGCATGTGCTTCTACACGATTAAACAGGAGCCTTATTACTTAACTTTTGAAATTATATGCTTGACTTGACTTCCGTGCCCTGTTTCCCATTGTCCTCCCTCGCATACCCACACAATGGGCAATGCATGGAGCCGCCTTAGATACACCCTCTTTAACAATGCCACTCAGTTAGAATTCGCTTAAGCAGTATTTATCCATTTTACTGATTAATCATCATCTTTTGTGAGGCCTATATTTATATGATTCCCAAGTAATGTGCTGCTTTGAAACTTATCAAATAAAATAACAATCACCGCTTGCGTGTATAACAAAATGTACAGGTCGGTTCCACCAAAAGACGACTGCAGATTCCTCTTGACCAACTGTCGATTGGCTTTACTGGAACATTCATGCTGACGCTGTTGCCGAGGCAATCTCCTTCGATTGCGGATCACATGAAGGACATTATCAGAGCGAGGTAACATCCTCACAACAAAATTCAATCTAAGCATTCTAGAAAAACTCACCGGCAAATCCCAAAAAAGTGGTACACATACTCTACATTTTGATCACGTATAAAGTGATTTGGTTAGTTAAGGTCATCAAAGTTGACATGTGACCTTAACTAACCAAATCACTTTATACTTGATCAAG